GCAAGTCATTGTTTGGTTGAAAAACAACCAATCACAACCAGCAAAAATAAATAAAAAAGGAACATACATCTCCACTATTCCTTTAGATGGTAGAAACTACAACATTGGAGGAGTTTCATTGGGAGTTTTATCAGATCTGTCTCAATCTTTTGATTTTTTTTATATATATATATTAAGCTTCAAATGTGAGGTTGATGGAGAAGAAACTATTTTTGAAGAATTTTTAGTCTTGTGCTTCAATCATACATGATCTTGTTTTTAATGTTGGCTTTATTGCATCCTGCTGACGCATCATTCCTAGTTCAACTTTGCATTCACAACATAACTGCTCAGTTTTTGGGTTGATTGCATGTTGTGCTCATATCTTTGTAACATAATTACAGCCCTGAGAAAGTTTATTTATAATAGCATATTTTCAACCGATTTAGTTTAAGCAATACGTTCTGTACCTTTTAAATTTAAAAACCAATATTCTATTGATCAACCAGACTTTGCTACATTACTATTTTAAAGCTTTTTTTTTTTTTTTTTTTTTGGTAATTTGTAGATTGGACTTGGCCAGACGCTCAGCAGCTAACTGATGTGGACTTCGAGGTGTTCCGACCTCGTTCCCCAGTTCGGGCTGGAGGTGTCCCTATCCCTTCCTTCGGTTCTTTGCGAGGATCCAGCAGCCCAGAGAAAATCCCAGCTGGCAGTCAGGCGCCCAGATGCTGCCAGAGAAAGAGACCTCAATCTGCAAGGGACCGGCAGGCGGAGCCCATCCACTCCAAGCTAATCACCTGGTTTGGAGACCAGCCTCCAGCACCTTTTGGTGTTCACCAGCTGGTGGAAATAGGCAAAAGTTCAGGAAAGAAGGCTGGCGACTGGTACGGCCCATCGATAGTGGCGCATATTCTTCGGTAAGTGCTCTACTTTTGGATCAATGCTGTTTTTAATCGTTCTGAAGTCGTTTAGATGGTTTGAGATGCTGAGTGATTAAGTCTTTTCCCTCTTTTTGCAGGAAAGCCGTGGCCAAAACCTCTGTGGCACAAAGCCTAGCGGTATATGTTGCTCAGGATTGCACAGGTAAGAATTAGAGCTAAGTGTTAGCATTTTTTTTTTTCTTTTTCTGCTCACAGGGATGTATTTCTCCTCTTATTTTAATCCCATGATGTGATTTTGTATCCTAGTATACAAAGAGGATGTGGTGCATCTCTGCGATCTGTCACTAAGTCAGAGTCCTGCTGATCCTTCCGACCAAGCCTGGAAGTCTGTCATCATACTGGTCCCTGTCCGGCTCGGAGGAGAGGCCCTTAACCCGTCTTACATTGAGTGTGTCAAGGTCTGCATTTTCTGATTAACCAACTCCTTGTTCAATCATGTCTTACTAAAATATCCTGCCTTATACTGAAAGCACTTTTGTTAAATTTCAGAATATCCTGAAGCTGGATTGTTGTATTGGAATAATTGGAGGGAAACCGAAGCACTCACTCTACTTCATTGGCTTCCAAGGTGAAAACCATCTGCTTCGTCTTGTTTGGTTTGAATAATCAGAGAAATGAGAATAAATCCACAAAGCTGAAATGCAGCAAATGTTTTTTTTTCTCTCTAAATAAAATAATTTAAGTCAGATTATATTTTTCTTTTTGTGTCATGCAGATGAGCAGCTTCTCTATCTGGACCCACACTTCTGCCAGCCGGTTGTCGATGTCGCTCAAGCAGACTTCTCACTGGAGGTCTGTTATCACGTCTGCACGTGTCAGTGCACCTCGCTCTCAATCTCACAAGATTTATCTAACGTAGTGGAATTCAACAATTATGTTGACTTTTTCTTGTGTGACCCCGTCTCTGTGTATCACTCTGCAGTCGTTCCACTGCAGCTCCCCTAAAAAGATGCCCTTCAGCCGGATGGATCCCAGCTGCACCATCGGCTTCTATGCCAAGAACAAGAAGGACTTTGAATCTCTATGTGCTGCTGTCAGCATGGTGAGACTTTAAAACGCCCGGCTCAGTTTTTACTAACACCAAAAACCAGATACATACTCTTTTTTTTTTTTTTTTTTTTTAAACCCTTTTTAAATTCAGATGCATAAATTACCATGAAATACTTCATTAGCAAATGGTTTGAATTGACAAGTTGCAGCAGGGAGAATGTAAAAACCTTTGACTTTTGTCTTAAGATGCACATGAAAAATCCTTTTCTGTTTGAAAAAGAGTAGGAAGAAGTGAAGCCCTTATTTAATCCTACCACTTATCTCAGTTTTTTTTTTAAATAAAAACAAAAGAACAACCAATTTAATTTATGTTGGTTTTGTCTGGTATTTTAGTGCAGATATAGCAAAAAAAAAATTGGACTATTAGGTAGAGGTTTGGGTTTAGCATTTTTTTTTTTTATTGTTAACTCAATTGGTATTTCTTTCCACTTCACCCTTATGCACTTCTTATGTTTACTTTTTAAAATTTACAGGAACATGTCAGCGCCAGATATACTAAATTAAGCATTAATTTCACACTCATTACAGATGTAAACAAGCGTTTTATAATGCGAATCTGCATATTTTTTTGTATGTGACATTCTGCTCTCCAGAGCACATTCCTTTCTAATGTTGCTTTTTGTAGACTTTTTGGAGTTTATTTTCACCATTGTCATCCGTCCAGGCTCTGTCCTCATCCAAGGAGAAATACCCCATCTTCACCTTCGTTGAGGGGCTGGGGCAGGACTATGGACTTGAGGGTGACAGCAGCAACCACAGTGGGCCTTCTGCCCACATCTTGCCTCCAGACACACTGAGCAGGAGTGACAACAGAAGAAGCAGTGAGGAGTTTGTCTTCCTGTGAACCGCTGAGGAACATGACCTCCCACATTCCACCACTAGGTGGCAGAAGACTTATTCTGACTTGGTTCCAGTGGATACAGCTCCTTGTCGGCCTTGTTTCAAAGATATTCCTACATGAATCGGTTGATTGATCTGCTTTCTTGACTGGAGGAAGTTGATTTTCAGATCTCTCTCTTGACTTCTTAACTGGAAAGGACTGATTATGTTTTCCCTTCATAAAGTAAAAAAAAAAAAAAAACTAAAACTCCAATACTCAAGGTTACAGCTTCCCATTGTTATTCCTGGGTAATATATCACCTGCTGTACACATTTTTCTTTTCAAAAAAGTTTCATCCTCTTTTGAGTTTATTTATAAGACTTATGACTGTGTGTGCGTGAGTGAGTGCAAGATTTGTGTAAATTATTTGTCTTTAATTGTCCTGCTATATTTAGATGTGAGTGCTGTTGTGCCTCCCAGAGGTTTTGGACTCTTGCAAGAGTTTATTGAACATCTTCAGTGAAACTTTTGTGTCTCTGAGAAAGCCACAGCCCAGAACCTTTCCTAATTATTTGCCATCAGGAATATAAAACTCTCCCAGAAATCTGCTGTTACATTTCTCTTGCTGCTAGAAATGGGTATTTATTTTTACTAAATGGCCAAGCCTTGACAAACATTTTTTTAAAAAGTGATCTGGATACATTTTCAAAGTAAAACTCAAAGCAGCTATGCTTAATCAACAAAGTCGAGGTTTTATTGTGCTAATGTGTCACATGACCATGCTGAGTTGAGTTTCTGGTCCCATGACCTGTTCTTTTACATGACAGCACTTACTGGACATTGCACTACTACTGTTAGCTAGTTTGCTGTCCAGATTAAATACAAACACTGGAACACTATCCTCATTGTGTGACATCTTTTTGTATCATTTAAGATCTTTTGTTTTATCTTTACCTACTTTCCAGAAAATGCCACCTGTCTTTTACACTCGATGCCCAAATTTTAGTTTTATTACGATGGCTTATTTCAGCATATTCTTGCATTCTCCCCTTTTAGTATCCTTCGTTTTTTCCAGGTGTCCTATTCTTTTGTCCTTTTTTTTTTTTCCTTACCATTTCTGGATCTTATTTAAAGGGATAGTATAATATGTTTTCCAGCCACATAGAATCACTTTACAGCACAATAAGTTACTTTATATTGTTATAAAGCTGCTGTATATGTCAGATATGACTCCATAATTTAATTCCTTAAAGTTGGGTCTCTTTTAGAAAATCTTGCTCCTTTCAGCACTTCGCCTTAAGAAAGTCTTCACAACATCCCTCTTCTACTAACCCTTTAACAATGATTTTACCAGCATTGCTCTGAGAACTGGCTTGTGTAATGAGGCAGAAGCTTGTGGTTCTTTCTGCTAAATTCTAGACACAAATAGATAATTATGACAATGTGGATTATTTATTTATTTTTTGCAGATTTGTTAAAAATATAAAAATGAGTCACACTATCCCTTTTGGAAACGTGGTGGTGGCAGTATTATGTGGTAAGGATGCTTTTCTTCAGCATGGACAAAAAACTGGACAGAGTTGATACATGACAATCCTGGGATAAAACCTGGGACTGCCACAGATAGCACAACAAATATCCTATAAATCTGGTTTAAATAAATAGTTTTCTTCTTCAAACATAATGCATTTGAGAAAGACTGGAGATGTGATGCTTACAGATGGTCTCATTGCAACTAAGCTACTTGGGAAAGAAACATTTCTCAAGAAAGCTGAAGCCACAACTAAATAATTAAAATGAAAAAGCAAGCCACATGTTTCAGATTTTTATTTTTTTAAAAACATTTGAAAACTAAGTATAATTTATGTTGCACAATGTGCACTATTTTTTGCTGGCCTGCTTCATAAAATCCCAGAAAACAGAAGGCTGTAGTTGCAAGGTGACAAAATATGAAGAACTTAAAGGCGCATTAATATTTTGCAGCTACTGTATGTGAAATCCCACCGCAAGAAGAATCGTTTAATCACCAAAGGCTATGAATGCATTCTTGAAGGAGCAGCTATCTGTTGGTGCAGTTTTGCTTGGGAGTTCAGACTGCTTCCCCCCTTAGTTATCATGATGGTTAAGTTGACTGTAAGCAGATTCAATTCCGTATTGTTCTGTCTTGATGCGCTGCTATCGCTGCGCACGCATGCGCCCTGCTGCACGGCCGTGACTAGACATTCGGTCATAGGAGCGGTGGAGGGGGGCGCTCGAGCCACGTCGGTGAAACAAATCAACGCTTGAAGGCGGATTACAAAGAGGCTGAGGAGACTAATTGCGACAACCGCAGCTTCTTCTTTTCTTTCCCACAAATATCAGGTCGGGAGCGCAGAGATTCGGCCCAGCCTGCCTGTCCTGTTGATGCCGGTAGGTCAGTCAGCACAAGCACAGTCCGCCATTCCCCCCTTTTTTTATGTTTAACTAGACAACCTTCCATGGGCTGATTGAGGAAATTCTCAGCAGCAGGGGCTCGTGTGCATAATTTACTGTATTTCCCCACGCTCGGATCAAGTTCAGCGCTAGAGCCGGCAGTTGTAATTGCATATGCAGGCATCGGGCGGTTTGGTGCAGCGCAGCAGGAGAAAAATCAACATCTGACATTCGTTTGGAAAATTTATCTTTTTTATGCAATTGAGTTATTCTAAATATTATATTATTAAACAGAGATGCGCAGGTGGTTTGGGCAATTCAGCTCCAGTGTCTCTGCATCTACAAGAAATATCAAATAGGCCTAATGACTTTTGCATATTAAATGGCCACTTTTGCAAAGGTTTTCTTCCTCTTTTTGCTCCCTTTCTCCCAGGAGATCCAGGGCGATGTCAACACCTGATCCTCCCATGGGGGGTACCCCCCGTCCCGGTCCATCGCCCGGTCCTGGCCCCTCCCCCAATGCTATGCTGGGCCCCAGCCCGGGTCCTTCCCCTGGCTCCTCTCACAGCATGATGGGGCCCAGCCCCGGTCCTCCTTCCTCTGGACACTCCCAGCCAGTACCCTCCGGATATGGCCCCGAAAATATGCACCCTTTGCACAAAGTAAGGACAAAATACACCCAGGGGTTCCACTTCAACCCTTCATTACTTCAAACAATTTAGCTCCAAAGATGGTAGATACACTGTTATTTTAAGAACAATTGTTTGGAAGCAGGATCTTTTTTTTTTTAAATGTACAAAATGTGTGTATTTGTGCATGAAAACAACAATCTATTTATAATAAGTGACGATACAACTGTGCAAACAACAGAAATGTGTAGATACATGCAGAAATGTTATTTAAAATGAAACATCGCAAGGGATGTCAAAATTCATTGAGTATGTTGGGAGCATCTGCTGGTCTGAAGGATCTATTATTACGATCCTTTGTGCACCTGGGATGCAGCAGCTCAACAAGCTCTTCAGTTCAGCAACAGTTTCATGGATAGAGCGGGAGACATTGTCTAACAGTGATGCCATCTTAACCAGTAGCTTATCTGCCCTCTTGACCTGCACCGGGTCAAGGGGACGTCCTGGCACAGACCTGGCCTTCACTAAGAGACAACATTATAGAAGATGTGCAAGTCTTTCATGTCATCTAAAATAGTTTCATCTGATGACCTCCTTTACCAGGCCAGCTGTCCGAAGTAACCTGTTTTAAAGTGTTGGTCAGATGTTTTTTTTTTATTATTATTTTTTTTATTGACTACAAGTAACGTGTGCCTGTACATTACTTTTCCTTCTTTGTGTTGTTCTTCATCAAATTAGCAAATTAGCTGTGTGTTTTATTTTTGAGAAGCCATTGTGCAGTAACCTCTCCAAGCCTGTCTCTACCAGCTTTATGTGTCAAGAGACTAACATTTTGCCCATTCTTTTTGCAAGTTTACTCTGAATGCAGAGGAACATCAAGGCTGACCACGGATTCACAATTAAGTCTTTACTTTGAGTAGGCAATTCTAGCACACCATTGTACTTCTATGTAAAACATCCAGTTTTAGCTCTGGCTGTAGGATCACTGTCTTTTTGAAAAGATGAACATCCTCCTATTTCTTGCAAGTTTTCTTCAGAATCTTCCACGAAGCTTTATGCTTCCACCACCATTTCAGATCGTTCTTATTGTGTTCTACGTTGCTCACTGTTCTGTTTTGATTTCTCCGCACAGCCCATGGAGGGCATGCATGAGAAGAGCTTGTGTGATGACAGTCGCTTCAGTCAGATGAAGGGGCTTTCGATGAGACAGGGCGGGCACAGTGGCATGGGCCCTCCACCCAGCCCTCTGGACCAACATTCACAAGGTAAATTAGCAACAAAGCTGTCTGAAGCAATGTCTTTCCGTCTAGCGTTGAGTAAGAAGACGAGTGGTGCGCGGCTTATTGCTTGTTACAACATGTGTGAGGCATTGTCTCGAACAGTCTTTTTTTTTTATGTCAGCCTCTAAATAGAAATCATCATGATTTCACAATTCAGTCTAGCTAAAACAATAAAAGCATGTTTAATCACATCATGGCTATGTAATAATTCCTTCTGTCATGAAGACATCCAGGTTTACTACTAGACAGCTGGTCTTGGGTTTAACTCAGGGAGTCTGTCTGAGAAAGCTTTTGAAATAACAGTTGGGCAGGATTTAATGAGGATTGGGTAATGATTCATTATTTTGGAAATTGTTTTGACATTTAGGAATGTGCAGATCACTGATATACTAATATTCCAGCAAGAAAACTAGTACCATCCCAGTCAGCAGTTGATTTGAACATTTGTGAACAGATTGGTTGGGTTTTTGACCTGCTTCTTTTAGCAAACTCACTGAGTAATCTGTTTCTCTTTGCCTTTCTATTTGGGCCTTCCAGGCTACCACTCTCCACTTGGTGGCTCTGACCACTCCAGCCCTGTCGCTTCAAATGGCCCCCCATCTGGTCCTCTTATGCCATCGACCTCCTCCTCATCGTCTTCTGCAGGTTCTGGTTCTGCTTCAGCCTCTCTTGATGGCCCCAATGTAGACCAACATTCCTTGGGGCCTAATAGCCGGTCCGGACCTCCGGGCAATTCTGGACCTGGCCCTAGCCCTGGGCCTAGCCTTGGCTCCAGCGTTCCCAGCCTCGGTTCTGGCCTTGATGGTAGTGGCCCTGGAGGTCCTGGTGGGCCGACTCCCTTTAACCAAAACCAGCTCCACCAACTCAGAGCCCAGATCATGGCGTATAAGATGCTTGCCCGCGGACAGCCCCTGCCGGATCATCTCCAAATGGCTGTTCAAGGAAAGAGGCCGATGCCAGGGATGCAGCAGCAGCAGCAGCAGCCCATGTCCAGTCTGGTTTCTGGAGCGAGTGCAGGACCAGGAGGTGGTCCAACAGGACCAGGATCAGGGCCTGGACCTATGGGCTCAAGCTACAGCCGGCCTCATGGTGAGTCTGCTTATACAGAGTACTCTTTGATTTATTTTATTTGTTTTGTGGCAAGATTTGTGTATCTTTCTGAATCTCTGGAAAAGGTGCACAAAACGACCAAGCTTTTGCATATGTTTTCTCCTAATTCAAAATAATTTTGCTAAAATGCAGTAACTGAACTAGGGATGGTCTGTGTTTTTCCATAACACAGGCATGATGGGTCCCAACATGCCTCCCCCTGGTCCTTCAGGGACCCCAGTTGGCATGCAAGGACCGAATCCCAACGGACCCTCCAAGTCATGGCCTGAAGGTCAGCGGTTGTTCTGTCAGACTGCCAAACGTTTGGAGCCCTGTTACTGAATGTTTATCTTATTTACAGTACTGGTAGGAAAATATAGCACTTCCCCCCCAGCAGTCCTCCTCATTGTAGTCATTGTTTATAAACAGTATAAAATATTGAAGTTGTCTTTAACAGTAATTCCTCTGACAGTTTTCCTTTCCACTTTATCGTTTTAATAATTTCTTTTTTCTTAATCTGCTCAGTACTGACCTATGAATCACTCCAAAGAGTTTTAAGTTAAGAAATAAACCAGCGCAAACAGTAAACTCAGCAAAACAACCAGTTCTGAATTATATCTTTAAAACATGAAATGTCAAATTTAACAAAGTGTTTTTGCTAAGACTTTCTACATGCTCAGCAGTAAAGTGTTAAGATTTTACTTTTTTTATGTTTGCTGTTATTACAGAGGCGGGGCTTTAAGTTCTCCTTCCTTTGCTCATTTCTCTTTCCTTCAGGCCCCATGGTGAACGCAGCGGCCCCCTCCAACACACCCCAAAAACTGATCCCCCCTCAGCCCACAGGCAGGCCTTCTCCTGCTCCTCCATCGGTTCCCCCGGCTGCTTCCCCTGTGATGCCCCCACAGACCCAGTCCCCTGGTCAGCCTGCTCAGCCTCCTCCCATGATGCCTTACCACGCCAAGCAGAACCGCATTACCCCCATCCAGAAACCCTGCGGTCTCGACCCCGTGGAGATTCTGCAAGAGAGGGAGTATAGGTACATTAGGCTCCATTAGGGATCCATCTTCTATTATCACAAGTACTTTTTTTTAATCTCATGGACAGTTTTCTTACACGCTAATGTTAGCATTTTTACTTTTGATATGACTCATTGATAACTGATTTTATGTTAATGCGGTTCAACTTGTTTTCTGGCAAAACGTACAGAATTAGGTGTTGTAACTTTATAACTTTTGGTATTGCGTTTGAGCTGCTTTTTGTGCAGATCTCTCATAAATGGACAAATCTGCTTGTCTGAGCAAAGCAGATGTTTATTATAAATATCACTGTACACAATGAGATACTCTCAGATTGTTAAGGTGAACCCAGTTTCAACAGATCTACAAAATGTTGTGCATGGTCTATCATATGGTTGTGTTAGTTATGTACAAAAGTAGAGCATTATTTATAATAAAAACACAAAGTACACCAACAGCAGGCACCAGGAGTTGAGTTTAATTAGTGACTGCGATGATAACGCCTGGGATCGAATCTGAACATCCCTAAATGAACACAACGATGAATATCCAAGACCCTGACAGCATGTCATTTGCGTTTTCAGGTTACAGGCTCGTATTGCTCATCGCATTGCTGAATTGGAGAACCTGCCTGGTTCTTTGGCTGGTGATTTACGTACCAAAGCTACAATAGAGCTCAAAGCTCTTCGTTTGCTGAACTTCCAGAGACAGGTGGGAACTGAAACATCTTCACCTTCAGGTGTAAAGATGACGCTCTTTTCCTTCACTGTGGATCACAGTTGTGTGGTTTTTTTTGTGCGTCTGAGGTGAGTTTATGCTTGCTGTCCGTAGCTGCGTCAAGAAGTAGTGGTGTGCATGCGACGCGACACGGCTCTCGAGACGGCCCTGGACGCCAAAGCCTACAAGCGGAGCAAGCGCCAGTCTCTGCGGGAGGCTCGCATCACGGAGAAACTGGAGAAACAGCAAAAGATTGAGCAAGAGCGCAAACGCAGACAAAAACATCAGGTAAAAGAGAAACAGGAAGCCACACGTGAAATGATTCTAATAGCTCCTTTAATGCTTTGGGTTTTTGTCTGTCTACGCCAGGAGTACCTCAACAGCATTCTCCAGCATGCCAAAGACTTCAAGGAGTATCACCGCTCGGTCACGGGAAAGATTCAGAAGCTGACCAAAGCCGTGTCCACCTACCACGCCAACACTGAGCGTGAGCAGAAGAAGGAGAATGAGCGCATTGAGAAAGAACGGATGAGGAGGCTTATGGTAAGAAGTGACAGCCGTATCACTACACTATACAGACGTACAAATGACCAAAGGCAGGGGCGTCAAACTCATTTCTGTTCTGAGCCACATTAAGATTATGAATATTCTCGAAGAGCCAGTTGTGGCAAAATATATTGATAAAATGACCCATTAAAGTGTTAAAATACGAATAAGTAGGTGTCCCTGCGTACGATGAGTTTTTTTTTTTTTTTTACATTGAACTTTTTTCATATTAATGTAAATTGGCAGAATACAGATAAAAACTGCTTTAATGTGATGGATAAAATATTTAGAAACACTAATTCTTGGTCTCCAGCTCAACTCTTATCTGGAACCCAGAAATGTGAGCATACAACCCCAGCATTGGCTTCTCTGCAATGGCTGCCAGTTTTCTGATCGGATTGATTTTAAAATGATTTAAAATGGGGCCAAGTCACAAATAACTTGGCCCCAGCTAATCTCCAGGATCTTCTTTACGACCATCCCGTTCCAGAACACTTTGATCAAATAATAAATGCTCCTACGTATTCCCAGAACCAGACTTAAGAGCAGAGGAGTTTGCCCTTCATAGTGTGGAAAAACTTCAGATTGCTCCTGAAAGCTCAGTTTTATTCTTTGCCATTTACACAATGCCTGACATTTTAATTCACCTGTCCAATCTGATTAATTTATTGTGTTTTATTCCCATATCTTTTATTCCAATGTGTTTATTTTACTGGTGGTTTTATGATTACTGTGCAGCAGTTTGGTGCAGTTAGTAGCTGTTTTAACGTGCTTTTTAAATAAAATTGACATTGACAACTGTTTTTCTTGGAAGCTCTATCCATGTGTGTCTCTCTAGAGACTAGAGAGCTACTTAAAAAGTTATGATGGGCTGGATTTAGTCTCCAGGCCTTTTTTATGTCGTCTGAGTCATTTAGAATAACTCTATACCTAATCCCAGTGCAATGATACAATAATGTTAGCAAGAAAAACTCACATTAACTCAGTAAACCGACATGAGAATGAACGACTGTTGAACATCTAAAGAAAAAGTCATTCTCGTGTTTTATCAACACTGTCATGAATCCAGTAAAACGTTACGTCAGGACGCTGTCCCTCAAGACAGCTCTGTGTACGAGCTGCATACAGACCCTCCCATTTCCACCTGTTTTGTTTTCTCAGGCTGAAGATGAAGAGGGCTACCGTAAACTGATTGACCAGAAGAAGGATAAGCGCCTGGCCTACTTGCTGCAGCAAACAGACGAGTATGTCGCCAACCTCACTGAGCTGGTACGAGCCCACAAAGCTGCGCAGGCCCTCAAGGAGAAGAAAAAGAAGAAAAAGAAAAAGAAGAAGGTAAAAAGACGTTTCTAGAAAGTTTGATCTACTTGTAACCTATGTGGAGCTGCTGCTGAGTATTTGAAACATTTTGCTAATAGTTGCATGTCATTGTTTCATGACTTACTGTGTCCGCTTGTGCTGCAGTTAGAGAACGCAGAGGGTCAGACTCCTGCTCTTGGGCCGGATGGAGAGGTGAGGCGAAGGGAGATACAGACCTCTGTAGTGACGTCTTTTCAATAAAAATTAATGATAAATAGCAGATTTGAGAGTGTATTTCTGTACCATATATTACTCTTTATACTGACATTTAAAAAAAAAAAAAAAAACTTGCCTGTGCAAGAGGAATCTGAGATTAAACGTACGTCCTCTTGCAGCCCCTGGACGAAACGAGCCAGATGAGTGACCTGCCTGTAAAGGTCATCCATGTGGACAGCGGCAATATCTTGACGGGTGTGGATGCTCCGAAGGCTGGACAGTTGGAAACATGGCTGGAGATGAACCCTGGGTGAGAACAAATACATGGAGAAAGACCATTTAGTCACGAGACTAAATGTTCTCTCTCTAACTAAATGGGCAAAAGAGGCAATCTGCTCACTAACTTTTCTCATTTTTATTACATGTTTGTTGCATTATCATAATAGCTGTCTGTTTTTATTATTTATTTATTATTTATACAAATATTTATTTGTATTTTATTTAAGTTTCACTATAAAAAAACCCCAAGGGAATATGATTTCACATTACCTAATATGACAACTTTATAAAATTTAACTCAGATCTTCTTTGTTTAGTGAGCTCTTGTGTTTTCTGGTAACGTAAAGAACCTTTTCAGTTGATTTAATTTTGGCAATTGTCTGTGCGTGTTTAGTTACGAGGTCGCTCCTCGCTCAGACAGTGAAGACAGTGAGGAAGAGGAAGAAGAAGAGGTGGGTTGCTTCTCTATGCTTGTTATGATATTGTAGCTGTAGTTACTGCATGCCATCACTGTTCCAGTGTGAAGCAAAGTAACGTCCAGCTGAAAAATTGTGTGGTAGGAAGAAGAAGAGGAGCCTCAACCTTCAGCAGCTCCAGTGGAAGAAAAGAAGAAGATTACAGATCCGGACAGCGAAGACGTGTCAGAAGTGGATGTCCGACATATCATTGAGTGAGTTTATTTGCTTTGATCGTGTGTTAGACACGTTTCAGTTGATATTTTTTGAAGCGAAGCTAACTATGTGTTACGTACAGAAATGCTAAGCAGGATGTGGATGACGAGTACAGCGGTGCAGCGTTCGCTCGAGGACTCCAGTCGTATTATTCTGTGGCCCATGCCGTCACAGAGAAGGTGGACAAACAGTCTACTTTACTGATAAATGGACAGCTTAAACAATATCAGGTAAACACTAAAACCTAAAAATGCAAGTTTCAGTGAATGTTATGCTGAAGCTATAGTTATTTAATGGGATGTTAAGACATCTCTCACAGCAAAGTGGATATCTAATGTTCTGCTCAGTGATAGATATAATAGGAGTTTTGCAGAATATCTCCATGTTTTTAAAGACATATCTGACTCAGCTACAGTTTTTAATAAAATGTCTCTCCTGATGTCTTTTATCTGAAAAAAACTTTCAGAAATCTTAGGCTGATATCAACTTGTTCTTCCTCTGGTTTCATGTGACTTTCTTCTAACATATTTTATTGTAGGTCACGACCCATGATTAAAAAATAAATAAATAAATAAATAAATAACTACATATAACTATATATATATATGCAGTAACTACAGCTACAATATCATAA